CGCTCCCAATGCCCTAGCGTCGCTCGGTTGCTCGGGCTCTTTTTTCCAATTCGAAAGACGTCGGGTGAAAGAGAGAACGGGAAGGACTCTGTGTATTTTGGATAAGGGGTGCTATAGTCTTTTTTTTCTTTTTTCTTTTTTCCAAACATTTTTTTTCTAGGCTATGATTTATCTTCACCTCACGGTGTTCAGAAGCGGGGGCAGACGGTAGCTTAGGTTTCGAAAAACAAGGGCAAACATGCAAAGTTAAAAAAACAGGAGCAAACATGCGGTTAGAGCTCAAAACAAGGGCAATAATGCAATTGTCCCTATATAAAATAATACGGTTAGTATTTAGAGCGAGAAATGTTAATGTTGTTTTCTACGGCCTTGTTTAGATTGAAAAAAAATTCAACCCGATGAATAGTAGCACTTTCGTCTTATTTGGTAAATATTGTCCAATCGTGGACCAACTAAGCTCAAAAGATTCATTTCGTGATTTCCAACTAAACTGTGCAATTAGTTATTTTTTTTACCTATATTTAATGCTCCATGCAAACGGCTAAAAATTGATGTGATGGAGAGAGAGTGAAAAAACTTGGAATTTTGAGGGTATCTAAACAAGGCCTACACATTAAATTTGGTTTATATGAAATCTAGAATTGTTTTTTTTCTTACTACCTGGAATTTATGACCAGTTACTATTATGGCTAACCAGCACATTGGTCTAAAAAAATGCATGTGAAGCTGGGACGTTGGGATTCGAGAAAAGCGACAAGTGGCAGCGCAGACGGGTTGGGTCCAGTGCCAGTGTGCCACCACTCACAGCCCCAACGTGGCAGGAGGCTATTGCTTGCGTGGAGCCCCACGGCCACGGGCGTACGATGCGAGGGACCGCGTACGGACGAACCAGCCATAGGAAGACACGCGGACCGCGGGCTCGCCAGCAGGCCAGCAGACAGCAGCGACCCAACCGGCCAACCCCCACGCCGAGGACCAGCGGGCACGTGAAAGCGCTGCCAGTGCCAGATTTTTCATTTTGTTTAGCACCTGGAGATGCTAATCGCATAATTAGACTCACGTTACGTTTATCGAGAAAGGATGCGTTCGGCTGAAAAAAAAAACACTGTAGCGACGGGAAAAGTTACTGTTCTGAGATAAATTTGGAAGGAAAAAATCTGTTCCAGGATAAAAAAAAGAAGTGGATCAAACCGGGTTTCATATCAGCCGAACAAAGCCAAAGTCAAAATCTTTTAAACTTAACTATAGTTATATAAAATATAGTAGTATTGATATTTATATTATAAAATAAATTTATTATAAAAATATACTCCACGCTCAATACTATAGTTTGTTACACGTCATAAATAATATTATTTTTAATAACTTCAAAAGATTTATCTCTTCGATGATAAGCAGGATGTACACTTTTCTTTTTTCCCGTAAATGGAGTAGGCATTTGTCACGAATTGAAGCCACGTGCTTTGGCACAAGGGCCATAGTGGGTTGCCGAGTGCTACGGGCATGCCGCGGTGAGCTACGGCTACCGAATGCAGTCGTGGTCGTGGGAAGACGGATGTCGCGGCGGTGAGCTATCACGCGCCGCCGTACTGCGAGCTAGATGCCTTTTTTTTTCTCCGACTTATACCTTGCTTAGCTACCTTCGTATCTATCTCAATGACTGAGATGAATACGAGAGTATCCAGATATGGTCTTAGCATCCTATAACTAGGTTCGTGTTGAAACCATGTTCACGAAGAGAGGTGGTGTGGCACCGCCTACGCTATATCGTCGGGCTCCTGCAAGCCATGGCTGTCGACGGAAAAGGAGGCAGCAGCTCAACATGGCCAAAGGTGTTTATCATCGGCACGATGATCGACGCCGCACCATCATTGCCACCCGCCTGCCGATGGCGAGGAAGACATCGGGCGCGATGGAGGCCACGACTATTATCAGTCTACCCTAAAACTTGTGAGTTGCTAATCCATCCAGATTTCTCTCATGCCCACGTGCCTCTCTTGTTTTGGTTTGGGCTATTAGCGGTGGCACACACTATATAGTATTTGCTAGGAACTAGTAATGGAGGATTAATAATAGACTTTGCTTTTTTGTTTATTTTTCTTAAATATTATGTAATGTGAATGATTTGTTGCCGGGCCCTTGGATCAACTGAATAGTTTTATTAGGGAAATCAACTGAGTAGCTGAAAACCTTGTAATAATAAAAACTAGGGTGTGTGCTTGAGCCGTTTTTTTTGTTTTTTGGCCCCATTTTTGAAAGTTTTTCATAAATATACCCCTGGCAGTATCCTTTCAAAAAATAGACCCGGATCTCGACGCCATGATAATTGGTGCCGTGCTAATACGTCTTGGCGCCAAATACTCTGGTGTTTTGGTCGGTGGATGGCGTTGGCGTGGCTCGCGACGTGGCGGTGACCTGGCAGCCATCTCGGCGCCACAGATCTTGGCGCCGTGCCTGCCTTATGTGTGGGCTCCCTTCCCTTTCTCTCTTATACCTCTTTCTCTTCCCTTCTCCCTCGTTCTCTCCCGTCCCGATCCCCTTGACCCAATTTCGCGCTCCTCCTTCTCGCCCTTCAGCCTTACCACAAGACGCGCGCACCACCACGCCACGCCACCCGCCCGCCCGGCCCATGACCCTCCCCGGTCGAACGCCGCTGCCGCCGCCTCCCGTCCACGCTCTGCGTGGTGGTCGCCACCGACGACCGTCGTCCATGACCCTCCACGCGCGCCCGCCATTTGGCCGGCTTCTCTCGCCGCCGCCACCTCCTCTGTCTCCTCCCTTTGCCCGCCTCCGGTGCCTGGCTTGGCTAGTGCAGGGGCCGGGTGCCGCCGTCCGGGCTGTAGGGCAGGGGCTGGTGCCCGAGCGCCTCCTCCCGCTCGCCGCCTTGAAGTTTACAATTCAGCTTGGGCCGTTCGTTGCTAGCGTCTCGCTGCAACAACGTCGTGCACTGCCATCGTTGGACAGGGTAAATTTCGTGTATATGCAATGTAGTTAGTTAGTGAGGTTGAATTGTTGAGTAGTAGTTAGTTTATTGATGTCCTTAGGAAGATAATGTGATAACCTATTTAGTTTAATTAGTTGGTGATCTAGTGATCAGGTGATAACCTAGTTAGATTATTTACATACTTAGTTAGTTAGCTATTCCTGAGGTGGGGCGAAGTGGGCGTCGGTTTTAAACGGTACCATGGCGCCACATATTTTGGCGCCTAGCTCGGCGCCATGGTTATCAGCGCCAAGCTTGGCGCCATGGATCTTGGCGCCGAGATGGCTGCCAGGTCACCGCCACGTCGCGAGCCACGCAAATGCCATCCACCGACCAAGGCGCCACATGAGTATTTGGCGCCGAGACGTGTATGCTCGGTCTGGGTCTATTTTTTGAAAGGATACCGCCGGGGGTGTATTTGTGAAAAACTTTTAAAAAGGAAAAAACAAAAAAAATCAGGTGCTTGAGTGAGGCCACAGGACAAAGTTTTTTTTTTAAGCCAGAACGTCCAAATTGCCTAGCCTGGTCCAATGGAACGAAAGGAACTGGGCTTGGCCCATAGCCCCCAGGAACTAGTCCGGCGAGCAGCGAGGGATCACAGTAAAGACTGAAGACTTTTGCTAAAAAAAACAAAGAGTACAAACTGAAGACGTTGCTCAAAAAAAAAAAGGAGAGAGAGAGAGAGAGAGAGAGAGAGAGAGAGAGAGAGAGAGAGAAGACCGAAGACTGCAAACATCACTGGTTCCAAAAAAAAAAAGAACAAACATCACTGCTGCATGGTAGAGCCCTGTTTTTATCTGTCTGTCTATTTATTTATTTCCGATCTAGTAAAAACAGCAATATACCAGAAATCCATCATCAGAAAAAGAAAGAAATTAAGGCCCCCTTTGGAACAAAGGATTCATGGAGGAATTTTATAGGATTCTAAACCTATAGGAATTTTTCCTACGTGACCCTTTGGAACAAAGGATTGGGAAATCCATCTTCACAAAAAGAAAGAAATTAAGACCCCTTTGGAACAAAGGATTCATGGAGGAATTTTATAGGATTCTAAACCTATAGGAATTTTTCCTATGTGACCCTTTGGAACAAAGGATTGGTCATCCTAGAATCTTACAAAATTCCTATGGAATGGCTCAATCCATAGGAATTTTGGAGAAAATCTAACATGAGGTCCAACCTCTTGGAAAGTTTCTTTGTATCTATCTCTCTCTTCTAATTCTTATATTTCTCCTGCGTTGTATCCAAATGCTCCATTAGAGATTTCCTTCATTTTCAATTCCTATAGGATTGCAAGTGACATGCAACTTCAATCCTATGTTTTTGTTATTCCTATGTTCTGAATATCCTGTGTTCCAAAGGGGGCCTAAAGATGGAGAGAGCGAAACACATATTGCTATTTAGACGCATATATAATAAACAAATCCATGAATAGTAGCACATGAATGCAAGAGTGCAAATAATTAAACTGATTGGCGAACGAAGCATTACATTATAGTAGTAGTACAGCACATGTCTTAATATCAAATAATGTATATATACATAATTAATTCCCAACAAGAATATCTTTTTCTAGAAGACTAATGCATAGTCTATGATTGACGTATCAATCTGATACGATAGGTCAGTAGTGTTTCATTTTCTGGCTGACGACTGAAAGCTCTATTGATATCTTTTTTTTTTGAACTTATACTATTGATCTCCATATGCGATCTTTTTTATTTGCATCGATCTGTCTCTGTGTTTTGTTGTCTCTCTGTCTATGTATGTACTACCTGGCTGACCAATAGCCTACAGCAGCAGCAATAGCCATGACCATGATACGTGATGAGATCATCATCCTGCCGGCCGATCGATCCATTTTAACTTCTAGTTCTAGCTAGCTGCTCAATTTTATTTATTTACCATAACTTAAAACTGCATGTGCATGCATGCAGCTCCCTGATGGATCGATCAGATGCTGGACGATGCGCGTTACTGCTACCTTGTGATGGATGGATGCACCTGCAGTTGCTAGCTACACGCGGTCGTCGTCGGCGTTGTTGTTAGTAGTGGTGGTGCCGCCGTTGGTTCTGATCGACATCATCGTCGTCCCGTCGACGTTCCCGTTGAGCTGCTGCTGCTGTTTGAGGTGCTTCATCTCTTTGCCTTTGCCCCAGAGGAAACCGTAGAGTCCGAGGATGATGAGCACGTCGCCGAGCAGGCTGCCGACGGAGACGTCGGTGCCGAGCAGCAGCGAGTCGAGCACGGTGGTGGCCACCAGCGAGAGGGAGTTGAACATGGACGGGTAGATGGGCCCTCGTCTCGTGATGGCCCAGGAGATGAGGCAGAATGTGGCGGCGGTGTTGAACACCCCCGAGTAGACGACGGTGACGAGGCGCAGGTCCCACGACAGGCGCCACGACGCCGGGTCGCCCCTGCTGATGACGGCGCCGATGGCGAGCGCCTGGACGGTGCCGCAGACGCAGGCCAGCAGCGTGGACAGGTACTTGCAGGGGAACACCCTGCCCACCCTGGCCTGCACGATGAACCAGAGAGCGTAGGCGAGGCAGCTGCCGCACAGGTACACGGTGCCGAGCGGCATGTTGCGGTGGTGGTGCGGGGCCGTGGCGGCGCGGTGCCGGAGCAGGTGCGTCGGCCACGGGTGCAGCAGCGGGCCCCTGTAGAGGCTGGCCACCATGGTGCCGCCCACGCACACGGCCGTGCCGGCCATCTTCGCCCGCCCCGCCCACGTCCCCGCCGCCAGCTTCTCCACGCGGAGCAGCACCGCCATCAGGAAGGTCACCACGGGGATGAGGTTCAGGAAGTTGACGGAGATGGCGGCCGTGGTGGCGCGGAGGCCGTAGTAGTGGAGACCCATGGCGAGGACGATGCTGAAGAGCGCGCTGATGGACATCCACCCCAACACCTTGAAGGTCACCTTTGGCACCATGGACCTGCACGCACCCGTCACCGCCACACATACACCATGGACGGACCACAGTAATATAATGCTTACTCTGTTAATTAACATGTTATTTAGATATATATATATATATATATATATATGTGACTAGCTACTAAAATAAATATAGTACTAATGGACTGAACTGAATATATATATAAGATCGAGCAATATATACAAAATAGTTAAACAAGACACGGGGAGCTTGAGCTTGGCAATAGTACTGTGTAACAATGCGTGGAAGCAGAGTGTGGTGCTGGTGTCTCTGGTCTGTGCTGATAGCCACATCACACACACAGGTCTGTTAGCTGCTAATGATAGAGTGACAAAGCAGGCATCAGCCAAAGCCAAACTGCCAAACTGCCAAAGTAAAGGTGAATGAGACGACTGCATGCTATAAGTGACAGAGGGTAGCAGTGACAATATATATAATGCATGGTATGGCTAACACAATTACTAATTTGCATCCCAGCCATGTTAATAAGCAAGTCCCATGCCAAATAGTTTCTGTATTCTCAGTTCTTCAAAGATATGATTTGGACAGCCTCCGCTGCAAAGTTAGGTTATAGATGGCATAGATAATGGGCACAGAATCAAATTTTGGAAAGATATCTAGCTATATAGGCTCTTCCAACCTAGCTATTCATCACTATGGGAGATTTATGTTTTGATAAATGAACAATTAAAAAAATAGCTGAGTTGGGGATGGGTCAAATTTGAAATGTACATTCAGAACATGCGTAGAAACATAGTGATTTTTTTTCCACGATCGGGCCTTTCACCCGTTTTTCATTAAGAGGAAAAGAGAGCCAAAAGAACGGCTTACACAACGCAGCTACGGAAAACCCCGTAGTGCAGGCTACAAACCACAGAGAAAGTAGTTAATAACCAAAACAACATGACAGAAAGAACGGCGGTAGGGAGAGGCCCTCCACCACTAACCTAACCGGCTGGACCTGTAAATAAAGATACATCACACAAGGCTGCCAAAACAGGAGAATACATGGTGGCTAAGTATCCACCAAGAGGAGACGACGAGCAACACGGCGGCAAAGCATCCGCCGGGGTCCATGCGGCAAAGCATCCGCAAGAGGGGGGCATCACGCACACGGCAGAGCCCGAAGCGATATCGGCGGCAAAGCATCCGCCCGAGCAGCGATGACGGCAAAACATCCGTCAAAGCAGAGAGACAGCCAAACAACTGCAATTGGACAGACCATTGCGACGATGAGCATGAAGCACATACAGGCACATCACAGGAAGGAGCAACACCGGCGAGGGTAGTGAGAGATAGGCTGCAGCATTGCTTCAACGAAGTCTTCAGGAAGGATATTGACATCCGCAGGCGCCAACAACGTTGGTAGAAGCACACGAGTAGGACTTTCGCCTTAGCCTGCCCCGGACGAACATAAACTTTGACGACGCCTCCAAGGAGGTAGATGACACAGACTGCGCCACCACCGTCGGCCCGAAGAAACCGGGCAGGGTTTTCACCCAGATTCTGGAAGATCGCGGACGCAGGCCACTCGTGGCACCCGCAGCAGCGACACCGATGAAAGACCGATGCTGCCGACCCAGGCACCAGGACTGCTGTAGCCTCCACACCACCACAAACCTGCCGACCGCCTACACCAGCCGCCAGAACTGAGAGCTGAACACCAGCAGGGAAGTCTAGCAGGGCCCCAGCCGCTAGAAGGCGCTGGCCACAGCAGGTTGCAGCGTAGCCCCGTTTGTCAGTGGGCAGGCCCCAGCCGCGACTACCGCAGCGGGGGGAGCCGTGGATCCGGCAAAGTAGAGGCCAGATCTGGTCTGTGGGGGCCCGGATCTGGTCCGTCGGCCGGCCAACTCGCCGGAGAAGACGGGGAAGGCTGCGTCGGGGAAGGAGGTGACGACACCCGCACACAGCAAGCGACGCCCCTTCCGCCTCGCAGACCACAGATCCGGCATGGGGAAGGCCAGATTCGGCCCGGGGGGGGGGGTCCGGATCGGGTCGCCGGCCAGCCAGCTTGCCGTAGTTGCCGTGGAAGGTCGTGGAGGAGAGATGGAGTGGGGGGAGGGAGGGAGGAAAGGGGCTGCGATGGGGCCCTTTTTTCGAGCTGCCGCGGGCCGCAGGAGAGGAGGCGGGAGGAGGCTGCTGGAGCGGCGGAGGCTGGCCGCCCCGAGTCGCCCGTAGGGGGCGTTCAGGGGGGGGGTTTGAGTCTATGAATATGTGGTTACAGATAACTGCTCAAATGGCTTCAGCTATCTATTTTGTAGAGGAAGAGGATACCCAAGTATGGCAGTACATTTCTAACGGTGTCCATTCCTTACACAGTACGTCTCTACAAAATTATTAATTTTAGGGGCATTACTCCTATTCGCATTCCTGTTTTCTTTGGCTGTTGTCCAGAAATAAGCTCTGGACTAGAGATAACTTAAGTTTGAGAAGGAAGGTAGACGACCCATTTTGCTTTTTCTTTGATTGTGTAGTTGTGAAACAACTCTCAGAAGAATTCTTAATAGACCTAGTGGTGCTAATTTCTTAGGATGTGGCTAAGTGATAAAATTTTTGTAGTTGCTAATATCTTTTCTGCCGCGGGCCTTTGGGGGCTTTAGAAATTAAGGAATGGGTTTGTGTTTTCAGGAGGATAGATATGTGGAAAGGATGTGAAGTCCTTGATCCTGAAAATTGCGATATCATGGTCCAGGGGCTGGTTGATTCTCTGCCCACCGGACCACCATCTGGAGTACAACTCCAAACTTGCCGAATTGAGAAGAATTGCATCAAGTTCAGAAAGATTGACATGTTGAAGCATGCAAGAGATCAATGGGAGAATTAAGCTTCTTATTCCTGAATGCTACAAACGGGAATGACAACTACCTGGCGGCCGAAGCAGAAAGGGTTAATCGTTGTCCAAGAGTACTTCCTTTGAAGAAGCAGTTGGTTCGGACAAATGGGTGAATTTGGCTTGGCCCTATAATAAATCTAAAAAAGTTTTCGAAATAATAAACGACATGTTTGTTGGCCATTAGTTGAATGATGAAACCTGGCCTGATCGAGCAAAAGGAAAGAAGCTAAGTCCGTCCAAAGTGCTACACTACCTAAGCCAGGAGTATACGACGACGACGACCTTTCATTTTTTTTAAAAAAGTGAAAAGGAAAAAAAAAGATGCATCCACTGCACATGCTTGTCTGTCCGTAACAGAATACTAACTACACAATACAGAGAACGCGATACCTGAGATATGAGTTTTGTCTCATCAGATCGGGGAATATAATGAGATGTTAGGCATCAGCAGCATGGGGCGCGAGAATTGAAGAGCAAAAGGAGACATGGTGTGTCATGTCTGTCTAACACCTGTCGTGCTAATCCGAGCAAGCTAAGGAAGGCATTAATTGAAGGAACTAATAACTAACTAACTGATCGTCGACGACGCTACAAGTATATTCACAATCACAAGACGGCACTCGATCGACCCGGCCGGCCGGCATATCTATCCCTGTCTCTCATGCATCCGATCCCTTTAATTTGCATTGCAGGCAGGCACATCATGCCTGCCGTACGTCTGTAGCAAGCAGCATATACTACCTAGGTAGCTAGCTAGCATCCCTTTTGCATGTCCTCTTCTCTATCAATATATTTGCCTGGCCTAATCCTGCCAGCAATTTTCGAAAAAAGAAAAAAAAAGTATCCCTTTTGCATGCATGCTTATGCTTTTGCTTGTCAAGACAAGGCAGGCAGGCAAGAAACAGCAGGAAAGCAAACGCAACGACCCTGCCTGCCGCTGCCGGCATAGCAAAACGTGTATGCTACGCTCATGCAACCCCGGCCCTTGTCGGTCGTCCATGATGATATATACTGTATATAATTTCATATAATATATATATATATATGTATATGTATGTATTCACACAGGTAGCCAGCCACACACACATATATTATTCCATTCGTGTCAAAAAAATAGTATATACGTACGAGAGATCATCACAGGATCCGGAAAAAAATTATTTATCTGAATATATATTTCCATGCGAGGACGGGTCGGGTCGGAACCTAGCTATCATATGTGTGTGTAGCTTGGTAGAATGTGCAGATATATATAAACCAAAGTCTGAAAACTACTTTGGTCATGACTCATGAGCGAGCATGTAGTGTCTGTTTATGAGTTGCTATCCTGGCAGTCAAATGCCTGTCAAGCAACCAATCCTAGCCACCAGGATTGCTGCTTGTGCCTGGGTAAACAACCAAACACCCTCTCGTATAGCTAGACTTTTTTTTACCATGAAATCAAATTAATTTGTTTATATATTACATATATATCGTTGTTATTGTTTTTTATGAACGTAAGTCTTTGTTATATTGTGGTTGGCCAGCTGGTATACGTGTAGTAGTCATCAAATCAAATAATTAGGCAACAATGTAAGCTAGGTTTGTTTACTACTTTGTGACACGAGCATCGTCTTATCTAAAGTTGCTTCATATAAAGTTACTATTGCACACATCAATCATGCTGCAATGCATTAAATAATTGGTGCGTACTACTAGGTGGGTAGAGGTACCTGTCAAAGTAAAAGGCGAAGGGAGCGACGACGATGGCGCCGATGAGGTTGCGGTACGCGAGGAGGACGAAGGGCTCCATTCCCACGTTCAGCGCCAGCTTCGACAGGAGCAGGGCGCCCATGGTGAAGGCCTGCACCAGCACCATGCTCGCCGGCAGCATCACCGCCTCCATGGACCATGCCATCTTCGTCGTCGTCGTCTTCTCGCCCGGTCCACCTCCACAATCCTGATGTTCGACGCTGAACGTACGATCGATCTCGCTCGATCGTCGCCGACCAACGACGAGCTCGACGACGCCGCCGCCGCCGCTTCCGGCCGATCCTATATATGAAGCCTGATCTGCAGTCGTCTCGTCTCCCTGCACAGACGACGACGACGACGGATGGATGGATGGATTCTCACAGCACAGCAGACTAGCTAGGCTAGCTAGCAGAGCACATGGAAGACTGACTGACCGACCGACCGATGATCGATCTATATATATATATATCTATATCTATATTTATATATATTATATTATATTCTGTAGCCAGCTATAAAAATAAGTTATTATGTAGCCATCTCCATTTACGATAATTTTATATACTAATTTACGATAATTGAGTTACTATAATATATGGGGATATTTACTATAACGTTATAATAAACCACTTAGTAAGGAGTTACTATAATCTCATAAATTAACGTAGTAATTATCGTAACTCAAAGTGGCTACATAATAAGTTATTTTGTAGCCAGCTACAGGTTAGTAGTTATATATATATATATATATGTATGTATGTATGTATGTATGTATGTATGTATGTATGTATGTATGTATGTATGTATGTATGTATGTATGTATGTATGTATGTATGTATGTATGTATGTGGTAAGGCTATTCTGCAGCTGGCCACAAAATAACTTATTCTATAGCCACATTGATTTACGATAATGTTTATACTAATTTACGATAATAACAATACACATTTACGATACATGGGTTATTATAATTCAAGATGATACTTACCATAATGTTATACTAAATCACTTATGAGGGAGTTATCATAATCTCGTAAATTTGTATAGTAATTATCGTAACTCAAAGTGGCCACAGAATAATTTATTATGTGGTCATCAAAGTAGTTATATATATATATATATATATATATATATATATATATATATATATATATATATATATATATATATATATATATATATATACTCAACTGCCTAGGTACCCATACCCATGGATGCAATGCAATTCGATGGATCAATGACAGCTAGCCTAGCTAGCTAGTACCTGAATAGCACTTGCGTAAGCGCATGGCAATCTAATTAGGCCATGTGTACATACTACTACATCTCCATGGATCCATGATGAACGAAATCGCCCGACAATCGATGCATGGACTGCATTGTATTCATCATCTCTACTCTTTTCATCTAGATAGATAGGAAAACTCCCCATTTGCTTTCCATCTCGGCCATCCGTTTTTATTTGCATTGGCTCTCTTCTTCCGTCTACATATCAACCAATCAATCAGCCGGCCGCCCATCCATGCATGCCAGCAGGAGAGTTTGGTTTTGGTGGACAAAACATACACAGCTTAATTACTATGCAATGTCAAAAAGGAAAAAGAGTCACTAGCTAGCTAGCTAGTCATTCAAAAAGCTAACTGAGACGATGCGAGCTAGCTGATATGATCCAGTGGTGCACGCAACTTAGTTTATTCGCTTTGCTTTGCATTAATATATAAAATATATAGGAGCAGGCAGGCAAGTCTCGCACGATTCAATTGATATATAGGCACGCACAGTACTGTCATAGGAGATTATTGTATTGTACTTATAGCAACTTGTTACAATTAGCTACTAGTCAATAGGGACCAAGCACAGAGTTCAAACACAACAGCAAACTATAGTTTCTTTAAAGATTAGGTGAAGTACGGTCAAGAACACATCCAAGAATATGTATTAATAATTAAGCGCGTTATACACTGTGCTCAATCATGCATGCCACACAGCACATATATATAGATAATAACATCACCTAGCTAGTACAAACGACGTTGGAAAAACTTGCCTATGAGTGAACGCAAGCGAGGCACAACACTAGTATCATTTAATTTGACCTGATAATTGTACTAGTATTTATTTGTGACTCATTAATTAGTTATTATCCACTACTATAGAAATTATTTTCACCAACACCATTTTACCGCTGTTTTTCCTTTAAACCAATAGTGATAATATATCACCACCAGTCTGGTTATCACCGCCTGTTCGAGCCACGAACCGGTGGTGAAAACCAGCCTTAAGTGTCTAACTAGAATTCTAGAGCATCCTCACTCTCTCCCACCTGGGCAACCCCCCCTCAATCTCTTCCTCAGCCGCTACTCTTCTCACCTACAGGCGTGACAATGGCGGACCTGCCCCTACCTCCTAGCCCGGCGGCGGTAGACCCTTGGCTCGTCCCCCTTGTATCGGCGTGACGGTGTCACCTGCCACCCCTCGGCCAAATCCAACATGGATGGGGGGCGGCGCTAGTCTCGCCCCTCCCTCCCTAGCCTGGTGGTGGCGGCGCTCCCCTACCTCTCCCAACAAGCCCACCTCACAGTGGTGGGCTCCTTCTCTTGGCATGACGTGGTGCCCACCAACCCCTTCAACTAGATCCAACATGGACAGGGGCGGCGACCCTGCCCTTTCCTCCCTAGCCTGCGGCATCCCTCCCGATGAGCACGGCTCGGTGGCGGTATCCCTTCTAGCACGACAATGGCACCCCCTCGTCCAGATCTGTTGTCGATGGGCACGGTGAGACACAAGCGAGGTAGATGGGGACGACGACACATAGACCCGTGACCAACTCCATTTTCACTGTCGGCGAGCAAAACCGACGGTGATAGAGGCTTTAATTAGGCCCGGCGGTGATGGTACGTATTATTGTAGTAGTGATCTCAGCCTACTATTTATTATGTTACTAGCTATTTATATATAGTAATCTTCTTTCGTAAAGTTTAGTTACAGTTTGGACTCTTCGTTGGATGTTACATACATACAGCCGGACGTACATATACCTAGCTAGATGTCATGGAACCCTCTCCCAAATATATATGGATATCCTATATGCATGATGCATCCCAAATTTAACAATGCTTCTTCCATTTCAATAGCTATATATGCAAAGTCATTGCAGTATAAATGGGGAGTGATTATACTTACATACAGTATGTCCCATGAATTGGAATGCTATACTAGCATGGATGTATATTGAGTATATATGGTTCTAAATAGCCCGCTATAGGTCTGCTATATATAGTTTATTCATAGGGTCTACCGTACAATAGTGCCAATTGTTTCGCTATTGCCACTAATTAACGACGCTTTAGCTCCGCTAAACACCGTTAGGCTTAGCCATAAATATTTTTCACATCGTTGATCCTGACTAAGACAAATATTCATTCCTTACTCTTGAGGACTATAACCTATGGCTTTCTTTATTTAATTAATTATGTAATAAACCCTTGGATAAACACTGAATTGTTGAATAAACTATAGCCATGAGTATGTGAATGTTGAGATCCTGTTGGCATAGGCAGGTTCACAGATCCCAATATTTCGCCATTCGCCGTTGCTTTGTTGCCCCTAGTTCCTACTCTATCTCTGTTTTACCTATATATGCATGCAGAGGCAAGCTATATGTATAGAACTTGGCAGAAAGTCAAGAAAAGGGCAGAATCTAATCGATTAAATAAGGGTATAACCAAACAATTTGAGGAAACTTACTGTTATTGATTAGTAATCCCTTTTGCGTCGGCTGCGACGATTATTCTTTGGAAACGCAAGAAGCTGGTGTGAAGTTGGAATTGATATGAAATCAACCTTATGGCTCGAGGTAATCATATCCATTTGCCACATGCATATTGAAAGAAAGGCTAGGATGGCGAGCATGATATAGCTAAAATGGATGGAAGGAAAATGCTGAAAGAAAGGCTAGGAAGACGAAGAAGAAATGAATGGATGCTATATATGTGGTGTTGTTGACCATGCACATGGATGTTAATTGTGGAGACAAATTAGTTTAGTTTGTCGGAGAGATCTCGAGAAACAAGCATGCATGGTCAGTATATGACGCACATGGAAAATAGCTAGCTAGTCCTAACTATAAAAAGACTACTAATAAGTCTTGTGCATGTGGGCTTTTCTACACACACCGTCTAACAGATGGATCGAGTGAAACGTGGGCAATTATTTCAGCCAAATGACTCTCTTTTTTGCAGTTATGAACTAGAGGAGGAACGGAAAGGATGGAGGTGACCAAACATGTGACATATATGTGTGATGGGAGGGCAGCATTGTTTGCGGGTATATTATTAGTGCTGTTTAAGCAACAAATTAAGTGTGTAAATTGCAGTATAAAAAAGACTAGTAGGTACAACAGCACTCCCGGCCCATCCAAAAAGCGAGAAAGTAACGAGCTTGCATTGTTTAATTTGCCCACAGCGATTGCACACTTGCACTGGCCAGAGCCATTCTTTTACATGTGTAGATGCAGCAGGTGGCCGGTGGACTGATGACATGAATGCACAGAACGGTTTGCAGTTTTTGCAGCACATACAAAACCTTGACTACTACTTGTCTCTCTATCAGAGAATAAAAATTGTTTTCTTCTTCTTCTAGATCTTCCATCCACACGTACGTAGAGACTGAGACCACTGCACCTTTAATTTCTTCTCTCTTTTTTTTTCTGTTTTCATGATTGCTCATCAGACAGCATCCTCTCTTTGTTGCGTCGCTTGCTTTGGTTTCTCTTGGCCGTCTATTGCATTAATATTGCTGGATGGAGGAGGAGCATCTGCTGCCTCTTTGGTCTTTGCCCAGAGGACAAAGTATAACCCAGCAATTACAAGAGCAGAGCCCAGGGCGCTGCATGGATAATCATCAAATAATTAAAGCACGTAATAATAATCAATATTGTATTTTTTGACTAAGCAGTTGAATTAATTGGAATAATTTTCTGTATACTAGCGAGGGTGATGCATGCATATGTATGTATACTAGTAGTAGCTAGGTACTGTACCTTCCAACATGGAGCTGTTCATGGAGAGCGACGACGTTGATAGCACCTGCTATCAGCTGTATGAGAGGTGTGAATGCAGTGGTGAAGACTGGGCCTCTTTGCTCGATGCACCAAGACATGGC